CCCTACATAAGGCACATTTAGCCGATTTGATCTGCTTTTGTTCCTTTAAGACATTTGTTTTTCTGCCTCAAGCTTGTCATGCTGTGCTTGGAGATTGCAGGTTATGTTCTGTACTAAGGCTGTACGGAACACTGTCCTCTCCTCTCCCTCACTGTGCTACTGTAACGTACGTACACCAGTAGAGCGTATTGGAGCAATAGTAATGATGCTATGAAGGTGATGGGGTTGAGAATAAAAATGCTGCTAACTGCCGCTTAATTGAATGTTTGATGTTTTATTGCACCATTTGTAACCCCTTAAGGGTTCCTTGCCGGATTTCCTGTTCCTTTTAAAGCTGTGATTCCAACCTTGGCTGTACTTTAGAATCACCTGGTGACTTTTAAAAAGCGCAAATAAAAACCTGGACTCCCCCAGAGGTTCTGAGTTGATGGGTCCTGGGGTAGGGCGCAAGCATTAGCAGGTGACTCTTCTGATGATTCAGATGTGCAGCCAGGGTTGAGGATCGTTGCTCTAAAATGATGAAACTAGTTCTCCAGCTCAGGAAGTGATCCTTAGAAATGTACAGTGCTCACTGCACTTCGGGTATTGCCCGTTCTGTGCCAGTTACCTGGCTGTGTCATAGCCAAGGTCTTTTGCACTGGTTCCTCATGAAATTGATATAGCAGCTTTAGTGTGTGTGTGTGCGTGCGTATGTACATATATGTATATATTAGACACATATATACACACGTGTGTATATATATACACACACATATATCTCATTCTTTTTTATGTATGAAAAAAACAGGAAAACCCATAATATGTCTAATCATACCATTCTAACCTAGTTATGTGTCCCTGGAAGGTCAAGAGTAAGTTTTTAAGAATGAGAACCAAGAACAAAGCCAGCTTGTAGCTCAAAGCTTCCTCTCCAGAGCAGACACTAGGAATTCTTTTTGTTGAGCTGTACTTTACCTATGCATATGGCAAGAGGACGTTTAAACATTTATCTTTGACCATACACGTTTGCCTGTTTTATTTTTTTTCAGATTATGACGCTTGGAAAGTGTGTCTGCGACTTCGTGATAACGGACTGCTGGCTAAGCCCACCCACGGTGACATCATCAGGTTTGCACCCCCTCTCGTGATCAAGGAGGATGAGATTCAGGAGGCCGTGGAAATCATTAACAAAACCATCTTGTCTTTCTGAGCTGGAGAGGATGCAGTTCAGTCATGCCTGCGGACGTGGCCTTGGTAGTTGTAGATAGCAAGCATAGTCTAGGCTGACCGGTAGACTCCGGAGCAGCCAGCGCTGCTTTCTCTGACTTCTGACTGTAAGAATAGAACATGAAGCCGTGTGTTCAGGGAAACATTGGATTTTGTGAAAAAAGATTCCTTTTGGAGAGAGGGACAGATTGTTCAGTCAATCCTGTTGCCCTTACCCATGGTATTTATAACTTTTCCGTTTTTCTTTTTACCAGAACTGAATATTTCAGACATTTCTCTGTAATGATAAGCGTTTCTCATTCTCAGACGACTGTAGTATTTCATCATGTGACTTTGTTTGATCTTACGTCAGGGGACCACTTGGCTTGTTCTGGGTTTTACACTCTAAATAAAGCTCCTGTTCCGGGGAGTCTGTGTTTTTGGAGAGTCTTGACCCTGCTGATTTCCCAAACTTTCTTTCTAGTAATAAACATTTCCCTGTGAAAATGCAAAAAAATAAATGAAGCTTATGACTTTATGTATTTGCACAATGTGTATTTCTATGGAGTAAATCTCTGGAAGTGGCTTGCCGTCCAAAGGGAATGGCTTTTCCAGTTCATCCATCACTAAAAGGTGGGCGTCTGTTCTGAGAAATGCATCCTTAGGTGATTTCATGTCGCATGAGCACCTTTGGGTACCCTTCCACAAACCCAGATGACATAGCTTACCACACACCCAGGCTATGTGGTACTGCCCGTGGCACAGCCTGGGGGGCCGGCAGTGCCTACGGTCAGTTATTGGCTGAAACTTTAAAAATATGCCAGAGAGTACGTGTGCTCCTTGAGAGACAAAGAGAGGGAAAGTGAGAAAGCGCCTCCTTTCCCCCAGGGATTGTCATGCCACAATTCCTTCTCTCCCATTCTCCTCCTCTTGGGATTTTGGGCTCTCACACATCTATCCGGTATGTCTTTCGAGCCACTGGGTCCAGGATTCCGACAGTTGGTCAATGCAGTGCCTTCACCACCACACCGCAGCTGGCCTGATGGAAATAGCTTTGTGACAGAGGACTGAAAGCCATATTCCCCCATGCTCCCTCAAGGTTCTACCGAGTTACCCTCTCAGCAGCATCACGGCTCCTGTGTACTGTTCTGTCACTAACCACTGAGTTTAAACGTGTGAGTGGGAGTGGTTCATAGGGAGGTCTGCTCATACCAGTTGCAATGGGGGTGGCACCCTGGACAGGTAATTTAAAACCTACCCAGGAGGGTTTTGGGTGTAGTCAGGGTTGAGAACCTAACCTCTGTTTTAGGAAATTTACTATTGTAAAATGTAGATTTTGATTCAGCCTGCCTAATCTTGACATTCTGCATTCCAACAAACTCCCTCTAGATGCAGAGGCTGCCTTTGGGCATATAATCATTACCAGGGGTCAGTTTAATCAGAGAAGGCCTTGGGGCTGGTGGATTTAGCAAATCAGCCAGAGTCCTGCTAAATTTTTTGAAGCCCTGAGTCTGAGAAAGGGCAAGAAGTAGGAAAGCCCAGGGAGTTGTGGATAGCACTTAGAACCTAGAACACAGAAGGTGGGCCAGTGGTGGTGGAGGGCAGTGGAGTCCAGGCGAGGAGTTGGGACTGACTTGGTGAGCAATGGGATCAGTGAAGGAAAGGAGGGAAGTTAGGAAATGCGTGACCCTGTTAGAAATATCTGCCAGATTGAACGTTCGGGACTTACCCAGCACCTACTTACCGTACACTATCAGTTAGGGGGGGTGACGTGGCCGTGGCACCCGGGTAGAGTGGTGAACAGTGTCATGGGGACAAAGTGGAAGGGGGTACAGTCCAGTGGGCAGGAGCCTGTTTAGTAGAGAGGCAGAGTCAAAGGCTTCAGAATTTCCTTCTTACTCTGAAGGTCAGCCTTAAATCTGCTGAAATGAATTAAAAATAGGTTATAGGAAAACCATAATGAATTTGTTGACGTGCTTAAGTGCAAAGTCATATATAAAATGTGAGTTAAAGAAGGGCCACTCAACTGAACCTTGGATACCCTCTTTATAAAGAAGGAGGAAATTGTGTGTGTGTGTGTATGTGTGTGTGCTGTGCATGGGGGGGGGTTGTAGGTAATTTTCAAGTATAAAAAAAATCTAGCCAATTTAATTGAGAATCTTTTATTTATTTATTTATTTTTGTAGAGGTTTTTGCCTTAGGATACTTGCATTTTTGGGAAGAGGGGAGGCGGGGAAGACAGAGACAGTAAGAGGGAAAGTGAGAAATCACCCCTAGGGGGGATGGCCATGCTGCAATCCCTTCTTCATCCTCCTTCCAGAATCTTGGGCATACATGCACACATGCCTGACGTGAGTTTTAAGCTCGTGGGGTTGGGACTTGAACTGGGGTTGGCCACATGGGAGTTCATCGAAGTAACCTATGCCACCTGCTAGCCCTAAATTGAGCAAATCTTAACACAATTCTAATTGGGCAATTGTCCTGGATTTCCAGACAATTCTGGGTAGCCTCATGGTCACACGATATTAGTTCCAGAAAAGGAAAGTAATGTTTACAAGAACAGGAATGTGACACAAAAACAAAAGTGAAGGAATGAGGTAGAGAAACAATCTGGGTTGGTTACAGTTTGAAATTTGTCTGCATTAGCACAGTTTAAAAGGTGGGATGCCTGTGATTGGCTGTGACCTAGCAAGAGAGAAAAAGAAAAAATGAGGTTGCAGTTTGTTTATGGAAACAAGCAGGAGGATGGAGGCTTTTTCGATATTCTTTTACACAAGGGGTGGTAAATAGCTTCTTACTTATTTACTTATTTTGTCATAGGGCACATGCACTCACTGGAGAGACAGAGAGATAGAAAGTGAGAAATCACCCCCAGGGGGGATGGCCAGGCCACAATCCCTTCACCATTCTCCTCCTGGGATCTTAGGGACACACACATATGGTCCTGGTGTAAATTTTAAGCCACTGGGTCCAGGACTTGAACAGCAGTCGCCTGTGTGGGAGTCCAGTGATGTAACCATTATACCATCTGGTGGTCTCAGGGATGGTAAATAGTTTTAAGTGGGGTCAGAGAGTGGACATTGGCCTAGGGCAAAGTTCATTTGAGTTCTAGGTCAGGTGTTTGCTTTCAGCCTCTTCTGTGATAGTTTGATCTGCCTTGGTTAGTGACATTTCAATAGGAAGGTTGAAGGAGATTGTGTTCTTTGGTGTATCTGGTCTTAAGGTAGAAAGTAGCATTTTGGAGCAAAGCCTCTCTATGCTTCAGGAAAGCAAGGATGGCATAGAAACCTTGGTTCTAAGGCAGGAGAAAGCTAGCAATGGAAGTGGGCAAGGGGGCTGGAGCATCTGCCTATGTGGCTAGACAGAAAGACTGATCAAGGCAGACAATTTTCCACCCAAGATAATGTAGACAGATTTCCAGCAGGGAATGTTTAGCTGATTAAGCCACATTTGAGAGAACCAATGAGATGAGAACAATCATTGGGCCCAGCCAATGATCATCTGACTACCTAGATTAAAATATTCTAAACCTTGAGACCAACAGATGGTGTGGTTAAGGCACTGGACACTCCCACATGGCTGAGTCCTGGACCTGGTGGCTGGCTTTCTCATTTTCCCTCTCTCTCTGTCCCTCTCTGGTCAAATTAAAAATAAAGTTAAATAAAATCTTTTTTGGAGAGGTTTTTGCTATAGTGTGTGTGTGCTCGCCAGACAGACAGAGAGAGACAGAGAGACAGAAAGTGAGCAATCACCCCCCCAGGGGGGATGGTCACGCCGCAATCCCTTCTCCATTCTCCTCTCGGGATCTTGGCACGCATGCACACGTGCTCGGCATGAGTTTAAGCCACTGGGTCCAGGTCTGAACTGCGTTGACTATGTGGGAGTCCAGTGACATAGCCATTATGCCAACTGCTGGTCCCAATAATTCTTTAAATTATAAACTGTGGGGCCAGCAGATGGCGTAGTGGTTAAGTCGCTGGACTCCCACGTGGCTGACTGTGGTTGAGTCTTGGACAGGCGGCTTGAAACTTAGGCTGGGTGCGTGTGCATGTATGCCCAAAATCCTAAGAGGAGAAGAGATTACTGTATTACCGTGTGGTCATCCCCCTCGGGGAGTGATTTCTCACTCTCCCTTTTACTGTCTATCTCTCCCTTCAGCAAGTGTGCACACCTTTTTTTTTTTTTTTGGAGAGGTTTTCACTATAGGGTGCGTGCGCTCGCCAGACAGACAGAGAGAGACATAGAGACAGAAAGCAAGAAATCACCCCCCAGGGGGGATGGTCACGCCGCAATCCCTTCTCCATTCTCCTCTCGGGATCTTGGGCATGCACGCACACGTGCCCGGCGTGAGTTTTAAGCCACCGGGTCCGGGACATGAACCGCGGTCGACTACGTGGGAGTCCAGCGACATAGCCATTACGCTAACTGCTGGTTCCCAAGTGTGCACACCTTGAGGGAAAAATAAAGTTATAAACCTCACAGAATATAACTGCTAGGGCCTCTTAAAAATAATGTTTTAAAAATGTATTTATTCTTTTTTTTTTTTTTTTTTTATTTAACTTTATTTTTAATTTGACCAGAGAGGGACAGAGAGAGAGGGAAAGTGAGAAAGCAAGCCTCCAGGTCTGGGACTCGAACCATGGTTGGCCATGTGGGAGTCCAGTAGCTTTAATCATCATGCCACCTGTCAGCCCCTGCTAGTCATTCTTTCTGTCCACTCAGGCCTGCTTCTACCACTCAGGATTATACTTTTGCTTTTACTTAATAAACTTATTCTTTGTTTTCTCTGTTGGCTTGTTTCAATCGACCTGGGTATCACCAAAGCCCTCCTGCCACAGTTCTGAGGCTGTTTGATTTATGGGGTATCGTTTTCTGAGCCCTGACACTGTCATACAAGAGATCTATTGGGTTGTCGGGAAAGTCATGATGTTTTCTGTTTTGCATAGAAAGACAAAAATGCGTTATGACTTTTCTGACGACCTAATCGATAAGGATCACTTCTAGGTATAGGAGAGAGGGGATAGAATCGATCCCATGAAGGGAGGGAGTGGTCCAAAGTAGAGGAGGACCCAGAGACGATAGGAGGTGTCCAGGTACCCGAGGCCTGGGATGGGTATGTTAGAGATGCCCGAAGATTATAATCCCAGTGCATTTTTGCACTGAAAACAGTCATCTCCCCCACCCCCAACAGCTCCAACCCTATGGTGAACTTGTTTTTTTGAGTTCAGACCTTCCAGGACACCGCATCTTAATTGATCATTCATTGCACACTTAAGAAAACTGAGGTTGGGACAGAACATCTGATTTACCCAGAAGAGCACCTGAGGTGGAAATGACACTGCATGTCATGAGAATATATAAAGTTCATCCAGAAAAGAGACTGCTATGTTAAATTAAAAAGCAGAACTGGAAGACAAAGAGGGAGGTCAGACTAGCCTGCTTGTTGATGACTAAGTGACTGACCTTTACAGGACTTTCTTTCTCAAGATAACTGGAACTCCTGCCAGCCTTGCAGCATGCCTTAAGGCTGACTGCACT